TGACGTTATTAATGACTTAACATGACTGAGATCGTGCTCAAATCTAGCCTTTGGTTCCTTATCGGCGAGGCCCGTCTTGACACGCTGTAGAAATTAAATTCCTGAACTCGTCTCTTCCCCGCAATCCAATTTCAATTCAGCGTCAAACTTAGAGGTTACATTCTGTTTTCCTACTTTTCTTTTCCTATGCGTGACTGTGAGCCACTAATTTCCCTTATTTTGTCTCTTGATCACTTCCTCTTGATGACTCAAACTTATCTCCCCTTTAATAATAATAATAACAGTAATAATTCATTCTCAAATAACAGTTTGTTACACGAGGAATGCCAGTTTATAGGCAAGATCAAATTGTTACAAATAATACAATATCCACTGTAGTAAATTACTCAGCAGGGTTCATAATTTATAAGATATAAAATGCAAATGGTTGTAGTCAGTATAACAGTTGGCGCGCTTCATAAAAGTGGCGTTGTGACGTGTTTAGTGGCCCGTGGATCTGACTCCTATTTAGATCGTATAAATGTTTGTTATCGCCTATTCTCATATATAATCGTCGACCTAAATCACGTTAGCCAATAACGGAATCAAATAAGTCGAATAACGAGAATTGATTTGTGAATACATATATTTTGTATATACAGCGAATGAAATAAAGCAAAGCAAAATGACACGCAGGGAGGATGGCTGGGAAGCCAACTCCATTTTAGTCAAGCGTTACTCAATATTTATAGTCAGACAAAATAAAGCTACAGACATGTGATTAATGGGATAAAAAGGGCACAGACATATGCACTCATATAAAAACAGTGAAGAGTGATAAGCGAATAAATAACAAGGTCAAAGTAGAATGAATAGAATGGGATGTCCGAAAGCTAGAATAAGATATGTGGGCTTAAAATAATGACTGACATTACACGTGCAACTGATGGTCAAGGATAGATTCATTGAAGATGGGAACTTCTAGAAATCGCAACCTTATATCCCTTTGGAATACCTGAGGCTTCAAGGATGGTGCAGGATGAAGTCACCCGTTCCATATCTTATGGGTGCTGAAAAACGGACCAAGTAAAATAAAGGACGAGAGGCAGAACAGCCAATGTTCATGAAAGAAAATTTAAGGTATGGCTACTCAGTCTAATTTTCTTTTATTAGAGTATTTACTAAGCAAGAGCATTCTAATACGTTAAAGAAGATAAATGTGAGCAGTGTATGAGTGAATAAACAGCTGACAAACGGAGGTGGTTCAGAAAAGGGCTGAGAGTATGGGATTATGTGTAGTTATAAAATATAGTTCTAAAAACAGTATTGTGATACACAATGGTTTATCTCCCTTTTTTCGAAGCTATTGGAGCCTTTTTATTTGTATATTAGTTTTTTTTATATATTTTATAGGGTCTTGAGTAGGCTTCGTAGTCTAGCAAATTGTCTAGTTTGCTTGTAATAGGATTACTGGGTAAGAAGTGAAACCAATTCAACGTTCTAAACACGATTTAATGAGGTACTTTGCAAGATAAATCAGCATCAATACCATAAGTTCATGACATCCCACTAGGCCATAAGGAGCCTTAGTTAAACAAAATGTTGTATTGTATTGATATGTGAGTCCGGATCTGAACTCAGTACTGTCTACAGGCTGTTTCTTCTTCTCAGTGCGGTTCTTTTTCTTGTGACAATGTCTAAGTCCATATGCTCATTTGCTTCCCTGATAGGTTCACTTTTATGGTCCCACTTAAGTCTAAAGCTGTGCTCATGAAAACGCTCTCAGTTTTTTCAAGAGCGGAATTCTGTTCACCTACTGCTGCCTGTTTATCAGAGGGTAATTTTCCAGCTCTCTTTATCAGCACAATCGCCTCTAGAATCAGTAGAGACTTTGTAGAACAACGTTGTTTGCGCAACGAACGTGATAATGGCCTGCAGCACCGTAAATATGCAGCTGGTGTGAGTCCGGTGCACACACTGTGGTACCATTTATTGCAGTTAACACATCGCATCCCATCATCAACTTGAAAATAGCATGTATGTCTACCACAACGACGTTCCAACTTCACCATAAATTTTCTTTACGTTTATGTATAGATAAAAAAATAAAAAAATCCGAATTCAGTTGCAGAAAGACCATAACGCCTATGGTAACAAACAATGCTCAAAGATATATTCAACGACGAAGAATAAGTGACAGTGCCTTTGGTTTTTTGTGTATGTACTCGTAAGGTACAGATGACAAACTTGTTTAGAGAAAGAGCGGTACTCTTGGAGATTACTTTGACTGAGAAAAATTCAATGAAAGCAAGAAGAGTGGAAAAACACCACTTTCTTTTTTGGATGGCGCGCACAGATGCAGTAGCTCCTTGCGACTGAAGAAACTTATTGATATGTTCCCATTTTCAACGAATCCATTTACTTTACTGTTTGTCTGGACGCTCTGTAAAATCTCGTTGATATTTTAATTGTCTAAACTCAATTAATTAGAATGTGAGTTTAATGACCTGAGTAGAACTAATACAACATACTTGCGTTATCGTCTGAAGATGCCACAGGTATTCGGAGTTTGACAACGCTTTAGCCAGTAACACCTAACATGAATCATACCCACCAAATGAAATCAAAAGACAGAAGTGAGGAGTTTCGAAGATATATTTGATAGGCTATCAATTTATCGAGGATCGACTGATCAAATCTGGCTAGCGATTGCAGGGGATGTTGAGCATGGCGTTCCCACTCGTGATCTGGTGCAGATGCATGACCGAGCGCCCTCAGCTAGGTGAGTCCATTAAAGCTAATGTGATCATCATCCAATGTCGAAGACTTACAGAGCTATTTATTTTGGGGATTTATTTATCGTTACAACTATGATCGTCACTACACGTACACTAAGGGCTAATTACCAAATTAGACTCCTCCATAGGCCAAATATCAGAAGGCAGTTGAAGGTTGTAGTTAAGATATATTTGTTAGCAACCTCATGATATCGAAATAATACCGAAATCGTGCCAAAATCTATAAGCGAGCCCATTGAGCATACGAGAGTTTGTGCAAGGACACAACAAACGGAATTGTTTTTTTGGTACAGTTAAACAAATGGTACAGTAAAACAATCACTGGTATAATTGTTTATAATGATAATTGTACCCATCACACCAATCACGTTCTCTTCATAAAAGTAGATCACTACAAACTCTCGTAACAGCACAAGAAGGACCATTTAAATTTCATTGGCGTGAACCTAAGTACCATAAGATCAATAAAAAACGGAACTAACAGTAGCATCAACATCGATCGTCTCAAAGCCACGTATTTAGAAGGAAACTCTAGTTACGTCAGTTTTCCTTCGGTATAATCGAACGACACGTGTCTCACAATCACAGTACATCAATCGACAATCAACATTCACTACGACACTGCGGTCGTATTTGACAACCGACCTGGAACAACGCGTTCTGGAGGGAGGATAAGGTTACCGGAATACCTGAACGATCACTAAACCCAAGATTCCATGTGAGGGCTTGTCTTGTAACACAGTTAGGCGCTTTCTACAATGTGTGTCCTATCCACTTCCAGCGCCCCTGATTTCTTCCTCCTCTGGGATCTGGCTTGTTCTTTCACACAGTACGTTGTTGCTAATATTGTCCGGTCAACGGATCTGAAGTAGTTTGTGTAGACAACTGTTAATAAACACCTGTATTTTCTGGGTGATGACTTTCGTTGTTTTCCAGGTTTCCGCCCCAAATCTGCATCAGATCCACTCTGTTCATCAATGATGCTGCCCAAATATATAAAGGTTTTTACATCTTCAAATCTTCTTCGTCAATTGTGGTTAGAATGGTGCATGCTGTGTTGTATCGGAGAATCTTGCTTTTCCCTTTGTGTATATTGAGACCTACTGTTGTTGAGGCTGCTGCCACACTGGTCGTCTTCTCCTGCATCTGTTGTTGCGTTTGGGATAATAATAATAATAATAATAATTTATTCTCAAATAACAGCTTGTTACATGAGGCATGCTAGTTTACAGGCAAGATCAAATTTTTACAAATGATACAATATTCACTGTAGCAAATTACATAGCTGGTTTGATAATTTATAAGATATGAATGTAGATGGTTTTAAGCAGTTCTACAGTTAGCGCGCTTCATGAAAGTTGCGTTGCGAATGTGCAACTGACGGTCAATGATAGGTCCATTGGAGGTGGGAGCTTCTAAATGTCGCAACCTTATGTCCCTTTGGAATGTCTAAGGCTTTGAGGATGGTGCAGGATAAAATCTTTCGTTCCTTATCACAAGGGGGCTGAAAGAGGGAGCAAGTAAAAGAAAACACGAGAGGCAGAGTAGCCAATATTCATGAAGGAATGGTTAAGGTATGATTACTCAGTCTAATTTCTTTTATTAAGGTATTTGTTAATAAAGAGCATTTTAATAGGTTGAAGAAAATAAGTGTAAACGAGGTGTGAGTGGACATACAACTGACAAATGGAGGCAATTCGGAAAGGAGCTGAGAGTATGGGATTATGTGTGATTATAAAATAAAATATAGTGCTAGAAACAGTATTGTGATATACAATTGGCCATCTTCCTTTTATTATCGAAGCTATTAGAGCTACTTTCGTTTTTTTTGTATTATTTTTTTCCAGGTATTATAGGGTCTTGAGTAGGCTTCGTATATTAGCGAATTGTCTAGTTTGCTTGTAATAGGATTTCTGGGTAGGAAGTGAAACCAATTCAACGTTCGTAACACGATTTAAAGAGATATTTTGCGTGATAAATCAGCATCAACATCGCGCTAGTTTCAAAAAGGGCAGTGATTTTTGTACTTGTTGTGATTATACTTGCTTTTGGTACTTATTGCACTAAAAAGCATTCTTGGTCTACTTTAACTAAGAGTTCTTTGGTTAAAGTTTGAAATTTTTTACTAAATTTTGTCCTGAGTACCTGTTTTTAGTCCTTGACTAACACTTGTGTTCACATTGTTATCATTTTTTGTTTTTAAACCTTTTAAATCGAATTACAATGGTTGGTAAGACTCACAAATGTGGGCAACCAAATTGTTTGTTCTCCGTTGAGGAGGGAATGCAGTGTGACGACTGTAAAAAGTGGTATCACAAAATGTGTACACGACTAAGTCCGACGGCTTACAAAAGATGCTCGAAGCCTAACTCGCATTGGCTTTGTATGTTCTGCTGTACGGATAAAAAGGTACTAATACAGGAGGCTATGGGCCTATTGGCTTTGGCCTGCAAGAAAAATGATGGCGGAAGCACTGATAACAGGAGCACTGACGATGAAGAATGTGTCAGTGTAGTAAGTGCTGCTACTGGACCCATTAAACACCTGACTGCGGTTGACGGGAACGTGAAATCTCCGTTGACATTAACGAGAAATGAAGTGTCGCTTGATAATGACATCGGCAGTCATACACCTCTAGTCGAAATAGAAGATCCGGATAAAACTGTCACCGTTCCACATAGTCCAGGTGTGGCTGTTCTGAGTGGTGACAAATGGACTTCGGTAAGAAGAAAAAAAATAAGAAGAAAAAGGCTGTAGGCAAAACGCAGCTGGTCAGCAAAACATTGGAAGGGATGTTATCAGAAGAAAAATCCTCACCGCGTGAAAAGACAGATCTCTCTGATAGATCAGTCATTTTTCATAAGATAAGAGAATCTTCAGATACTGAACCAAAGGCAAGATTTGAACATGATCTCAATCATATTAAGACATCATTAAGTAAACTACTCCCAGATACAGTTTCAGGAGTTAGTATTTGTAAGCTTTATAGAATAGGAAAAAAGGTGGATTCCGAAAGTCCTCAGAAAAACCGCCTCCTAAAGGTTACATTCAACACGGTGGAAGAAAGGAACCTGATTCTAAGTAATTCACGTAAACTGATTGGATCCGGAATATATGTCCGTGAGGACCTCAGCCTAGCTGATCGTATTAAGAGAAGAGCTGCAGAAGCGGAAATAAACGAGCGTCGCCGAAACGGTGAAAGAAACCTCGTTCTTAAGGGTTTTCAGATTGTAAAAGTTCGGAGCAAAACGATCCCCAAGCCACTCTGGGTGGCAAGGGAAAGCTCTCCACAGACTTAAAAGTGTGCTACACAAATGCTCGCAGCCTACTAAATAAAATGGCGGAGCTGAAGTCAGTGGTGGACAAAGAAAAACCGGACGTTATCGCTGTCTCGGAAACTTGGTTAACGTCAGAAGTATTAGATAGTGAAATCCAATTGACTGGTTTCATAACCAGTAGGGCTGATAGATTAAACCGAAGGGGAGGCGGGGTTATTTGTACACCAAAAGTACCCTAACCATAAGATTAGCTGAGACAGTAGCACATGTTTCAGGGACATGTGAACTGGTGAGATGTAAGTTGAAATGCCGAAGGCAAGATATTGAAGTAGTTGTAGTTTATCGCAGTCCAGAATGTGTAGCAGATGATTTTCTCCTTAGTAAACTTAAGTCCTGGTGTAACAACGGTAAAAGCCTTGTAGTAGGCGACTTTAATGCACCATATATAAACTGGGTTAACTTAGAAGTAGGGTCATCCATATCGTCGTTCGACTCCAAACTGTTAGAAACCTCGATTGGACTAGCATTATTCCAACACATTAGAGATCCCACAAGATACGACTTAAGAAACTCTTCTCTTTTAGATTTAGTCTTCACACACGGTGATGACGTTGGTCAAACGGCTTTTCTCCCACCACTTGGGAGAAGTGACCATGCAGTCATCTTATTCAAATTCATGGCTGAGATTGCTTGTCAAACAATTGCGCCGGCCCGTCCTAACATATGGAAGGCAGATATGCAGGCAATTAACTCCGCAGCATCGGCTGAGAACTGGGAAATTGACTCAAAGGCATCAGTACAAGAGGCATGGACTCTATTCAGGCAGTTATACAATCGGGTAACTCAACCATACATACCCTGGACTGTCCCAAAGAAAAAGAAGCACGGACATCCCTGGATAGGGCGGGATATTCGACGCTTACTAAGACAAAAGAAGAAATGCTGGGATGTTGCCATCCGCCTTGGCACAGCGGGTACGATGGAACGTTACAGATCGATAAGAAACGAGTGTATAACTAAAATTCGGGAAGCGCAAAGAAAATATGAAATGCAGCTGGCAGAATCTGCACTCAAGCAGCCCAAGAGGATATTCTCGTACATAAACTACAGAACAAGGATTCATCATTGGATTCCCAACCTAATTAAAGTAGGAAGTGAATCTGAAATGATAGAGGAAGATCAGGAAAAAGCTGAGGTTATGGCTGACTACTTTGGGGCAGTTTTCACTCAGGAACCTCCTCTAGAGAAAGAACCAGACCCAATTACAGAGTCAACAAACCAGCTGCTCACCGTGGACTTCGACCAAAACGATGTGCTTAAGGCTCTTAGCACCCTAAACATGGAGAAGTCAACAGGACCAGATGAACTACACCCTAAAATCTTGAGACATATTGCCCAATATATCGCAGCCCCACTGACTGTGATATTCAAAATGTCACTTGACCAAGGTGTGTTACCTATGGACTGGAAGGACGCAATCGTCACTCCCATACATAAAACAGGTCTACGACAAGTTCCATCAAATTACAGACCCGTAAGCCTCACCAGTGTTGTAATTAAAATACTGGAAAGAATAATCAAACGGACCATAACAGCATTTATGGAAACCAATAACTTGCTGAACATGGCACAACATGGTTTTAGAAAGGGTCTATCCTGTACAACGAACCTCCTTATAGCTAGGGAGCTCTGGATTAATGCGCTAGACAACGGAAACTCAGTGGATGTTGTCTACATAGACTTCAGTAAGGCTTTTGACAAGGTGCCAACTAATAGGCTGCTATTGAAGTTGGCAAACCTTGGTATTGCCGGACCTCTTTTAAAATGGATTAAGGATTTCCTAGTAGGTCGTAGGCAAAAAGTAAGAATAAATTCCAAGTGCTCCATCTGGAGACCAGTACTTAGTGGAGTACCCCAAGGTTCCGTCTTAGGTCCTTTACTTTTTATAATGTACGTTAATGATCTTACAAGTATAGTACAGTCTCCAATGTTATTATACGCTGACGATGTAAAAATTTGGCGAGTAATAACTGGAGACAAAGACGCATTTACTCTTCAGGCGGACTTAAATAATATGATAAACTGGTCTAAAGAGTGGCTAATGCCTATCAACTCGGAAAAGTGTGTCTACATGCACTTGGGGGATTCAAAGGTTAATACGTACAACATAGGGGATGTGTCATTACCCGTAGTCCGGTCTCATAAGGACCTAGGGGTGACAGTGAGCAATGATCTTAAGACGACGGCCCATTGCCGGGAGGTCGCAGTTAAGGGGTTTCGAACCCTCTGGGCTTTAAAAAGGACATTCACTAAGCTTGATACTACCATGTTCACCACATTATACACATCCTTAGTGAGAACTAAGTTAGAGAACTGTGTTCAGGCTGCAAGCCCCTTTTTAAAGGTGACTCAAAAAAAAAAGAAAAACAGAAAGGGGCAGCTACGCGTGCAATTCCGGAACTCCGGGTTTATCATATAAAGAGCGGCTTGAAAAACTGAACCTCTTTACTCTGTCCTATCGCAGACTAAGGGGAGATCTAATATTGATGTACAGAATACTGAGAAATGATTTCGGACCTAACTTATTCTCTCTCTTTCTTCCCACTAGATCGGGACACCTCAGAGGACATAGCAGGCGAGTAGAAAAGCCAAGAACGAACAAAATACCCGTGGCATACAGGTTTTCACACCGAGTCATCAATACTTGGAACCTGCTGCCTGAAGCAGTGGTGTCCGCACCTTCAATTGACTCTTTCAAGAGAAGACTGGACACTCACAGAAGCATACTAGAAAAGGAATAACATAGGCCGTAGGCCTTCTGTCCTTACTACACAAATCTGGATCTGATAAGTTCGTGACATCCCACTAAACCATAAGGAGCCGTAATTAAACAAAATGTTCTGCCCTACAGACATGGGTGGATTGAAGTTATCTCCCCACCTTCATGTTTGCTGGTCAGTAACGCCACCCTCCCTCCTTTTGTGATGTTAGGCTCTCTTACGTTTGTGGTAAGTATGAATACTGCTTTAATCAAAGCCCATAGTTGGAATACACTGTCTCTACTAGGTCCATGTTACAAGCAAATCAGATAGTTGAAAAGTCTGTTTTATGGGTTAGATATCCATATAGTATATCACAGTGCTATGAAAATAACTAATGGTTTAAAGAAGTAAGGACTAATAGCAAATCAAAAGATATGAGAGGGTATATAATTGTAGAAAGAAAAAAAAGTTTCAGGGTAAGACAAATAAAACATTGAGAAACTCACAAGACTTTGTGGCCAAATTTTGAGCTTTGTATGATCGGTCTTAGTAGATCAGCATCCATAAGATTGAGCTATCTGTCTACTTGCAGTAGAAAAAAAGGCATGACTTTTAGAAAGAATAATGGACATTTAACCTGTAGAGATTTGGGAACTGAAAGCTAGGGTTAGGAGCATAAGGTCATGATTAATAAACAATGGATAATAGGAAAGGATAAGCCATATATTCTGAGATTTGGTTATATTCGTATTAGTAACAGTCGAACTTGTTATAATCTTGTTCTTTTTAGATACTAGGCGGTCCGTAATAAAGTGCCTCCTTGGTGGGCGGGAGTTCAAGGAAATGTTGAAGCTCTTTGAAGTCTAGAAATAGGGTTATTAGCTTTTGAATCTGGTAAACGTATCACAGTTACGGATAGGCATTGGCAGTCTGTTTCACAATAAACTATACCGTACTGTAAAAAACTTACAACGCATTTGTTTTTGTTGTTTTACGGTAAGTAGTGTATATGCGTTGTTTCTAAGTCTATAGGCTGGGTCGTGGGTGATAGTCGGGCAGGAGGTTAGAAAGGAGAGCCCATATATCGCTTTGTAGAGAAATATTAAATTGTTTTTTTAGCCTACGGTGCCATAAAGGTTCTAAAGATAGATGCTTACATCTGTCTATGTAATCGAGATTCGAGTTACATCCTAGTAGTTGACGTGTGAAACGTCTTTGAACATCTTCTACTCTCATCTTGTCTGTGATATTCATATTAGAGAAGACAAAAGAGCAGTATTCAAGGGAGGGTCGTACACATATTTTGTAGAGAGTAAGTTTACCCTCTGTTGTGAAAAAGTTTTTCATTATAAAACCAATTAGCCGTCTAGATTTAGAAATAATAGAGGAGGCATGTTCTTCAAAGTTCAGGCTTCCTGTGTAATTAATTCCTAAATCGTGTACTGATTCGAGTGTTTGGACTCTACATTCATTTAAGTGAAGGGCCAGATCATCTGCGAAGTCTAGATTATCCAACTGCATCTTAGATGTCCATCGTATCCCGCGCTTCCCTTCAGACGTTGACGTCTTCATGATCCAGTCGATCACCAGGAGAAAGAGAAAGGGTGAGAGTAAGCAACCTTGCCTAACACCGGTCTTCACTTCGAACGACTTTGTCAACTGTCCTCCATGCACGACTTTGCAGTTTAATCCATCATATGAATTCTGTATGATGTTG